CCGACCTAGTAGCAATGGCCTCCAACCTAATAGTGATGGCCTCCAACTAGCAATGGCCTCCAACCTAGTAGCGCTGGCCTCCAACCAAATAGCGATGGCCTCCAACCTACTAGCGATGGTCTCCCACCTAATAGCAAAAGGAATGTGAACATTGATTCTCACATTGGCGGTCTTGATTCTCACAAATTCTCACATGAGTGCGTGAATTTGATCCTCCAAATCTTGTTGTAGTTGCCCTATGTTGCCCTATACTGATATCCAGCTCTGAATGAGCCGCATGTTGCTGCAGCAAAGGGTACAGAATTGCCAGCGTCAAGCGATGGGTGGGAGGGGAAGAATTGAAATCACCTGCTTATCTACTTTCCATCATCGTTACTGTCCAATCACCAATCAGAAAGGTGTTCAAACCCTCAAGGAGAAGAGGTTCGTACAACCAAACCAAGCTCTTCTGGCCGTCCAGTCCATGTCGAAACAATCCTTCCAATTTCTAGACAAACCTCACCCTCCCAAATGCTGATAGCACGACAAAGTTGCAAAAGTTCCGCTTTCCATCATTTGGTGGCTGCAAGATATGCTTAGATACCAGGAAGACTCTTCCTCTAAAGGTCGCTGGATCCGATCCAAAGCCAGGAGGTGGTGTTTTTCATGTCGTTTTCGAGTCTGAGTAGGAGTCATCCCAAAGTCTTACTCAGGTCCAGGACCAACCAAATGTTTGAGCTTCTCTCCTGAAGCCCGGCCCATCTGCATTCCAGCAACTGGCCCATCCACGATCCTCGAGCCTGACGTCACTGCGGCCCCACGATCGCGGAAGGGGATTGACCAATTGACCCATCGACCCATTGCGGTTCTTTTGGGGGTCAAAAGTCGGTTTTGTGTTCCACTTTTGTATGTGTGTCTTCTAAGACATGAGATTAGATATATATATATATAAGTGGCAAAGCTCTGCGGATAAAACCTTGAAGATATGTCCCTTTTGAGCAACTGATTGGCCCTTAGGTATTCTCAGATTCCCTTCATAGCAGGCATATTTGGGCTAGGTTCAACACGTTTGTTCAGCATGTGTTTGGATCTGCAGCATTCGTTCATCAGCGACTGCGGAAAACGGTTCGCCGATCTTTGATCTCCTCCCGCCAAGCTTTGACCTGGTCTGAATCTATGAACAGTGGATGATCGTGAGTAGGAGCCTTTTTGAAATCAGCACCCAAGATTCAGGCATAAAAAATGCATAAAGGTCTTTCTTCATATCGATCATATCGTTGAATTCATCTCGAGAGCCTTGTTTTTCAGTTAGTCAGGCTACACCCGGTCACTTCACCTGGTGAGACTAAAACTCCGGTATGCCTCGATTCTTCCAGGAGAATTTGAGCCTTGAAGCCCCAAATTCTTCCTGGTCTACCACGAAAAAGTGGGGGTTGGACCAGGTCAGACCAAATTGAGGCTTTTCCGGTGCCCGGACCTGGCACTTCGCGCAGCAAGGCCTGAAGTCCCAAGAAGAGCCCTGGCGGGACTCGGAGACTTGAGAGGCCGAAGCGTCGGACGGACAAGGGCGGGCCGGGCTTTCCTGGTGTTTCTTTTTTCCTCTACGAAACTGCTGTTTGGAGGAGTCCGTGTTCAAGAGGGACATGCACTTCCTTCCATGCTGAACTTCAGCTTCTTATCTGGTCGCTGCAAAGGTGATGGAATGTACGTTTTTGAACAGCAGGTTCGCGGGAACTCAACCAGCGCCGATGCTGGGGCTTCTCTGGGTTGCGAATGATGAATATCGTTCATCCGATATGCACGGACTTTCCTGAAAGGGAAGCAGCTTGAAGCTGAGAATCTTGACCCCCGAACTTCGGAGGTGGGGAGGCCTAATTTTTGCAGCCTAGACCCAAGCATCACCGACAATTCCAATGGAGTGATTTTCAGTGCTTCATGCAAAACAAAGAAAGCCACACACTCCCACACACTCCCTGGGGCCATTAAGCAACAGATTTCTCAATTGTATTCTTCTTCGATCCACGCATCTGCTTGGATCCCAAGATCGCCAACCCCACATCATCTCAAAGAGTCAACACGGGCCGGCAGCACCAATGCTCACAGGTCCTTGCCAACCATCACCTGTCAGAGAGATCCCGTCACTGGGAAGCTCTTACAGTAGACGCACACCGGCGCCAGTGATGAGTGAATCGGCTTTGAGTCACCGGAAGAAGAAAGAAAACCAAGAAGATCTCATTAGCTGCCTGAATTGTCAACCTCCTTGTCTTGTGGCTGTGAAGCTCTTGTCTCCTTACTTCCAAGACTTGGAACAAAAAGACCTGGGACCTGGTCTGGACGAACATGGGGTGCCAATACCAACCGCACACGGCGGTAAAAGGGCACGTTGGGGGGGTCGCACCTGCTCCAGTGTAGCCAAAACCACAAGTCACGTACCTGGAGAAGTCGAATGGGAAGCTTCGCCGGTGTCCGAGGCCATCACGAGTCGGTTGGAGGCCATCGCTATTAGGCTATTAGGTTCCTTTTGCTAGTACTTGTAGGTACGTTTGCTGTTGTGTTCAAAGGGAATGCAGGAATTATGGGTGACCTCTTGCACTGGAACCGCCAGGGCCTTTGTGTTCCGACACGAGTGACTGGCTGCAGGGGCATCTTCTTTGGTCCCTCTTGGACTTGTCCACGACCCTTTAGATCCAAATGTTCACCTGGGGTAGAATCCTGGAGTTACGGCAGGTGGTAAGCGCCAAATGATTACTGTAACAGTGCCAAGGCTTGGAACATCTTTTGGTGACAGTCTGACAGTTGGATGGACAAACTTTGTCTGCCAGTTCCTACTAATATAGACTTACTGGTGACAACTTTGGGAGAGACTGAGTTGAGGTTGCAAATCATTCAGATTCGTACTAAGAGGTTCATTCTCGGCATGCTGCCCTGTTGCTGGCCTGTGGGGCTTTGATTTTGATCTTTCATGATCTTTCCACATCACATGACTGAAGGCGCTCTTGGCACAGAGAAGGCAAACACGCTTTATGATTTGACAAGAGATTGTGTATGCTGCTCCTGAGCACCGCTACTGCTCTGCACACCCTGACTCACAGGTGTCACTCATGTTCCCAGCATGGAGCTTTGCATGAGAAACTTGCCAGACTCCATACACGGCATGTGTTCATTGACGCCTGTAGCAGGTCTACTCCGACGGTGAGTCCGGCAAAGCTGACCGCCTTGGTTGAAGCGTGCGAAGGCACGAGCAAAGCCACGACACATCTGGACAGAGACGTAGTATGTCCCCAATATGCACCCTTCACATGATGAAGTGTGGTGACTGGGAGGAGTTTGGAGACTTGTAATCGGTGGTGGCCAGCAATTTTTGGGGGTCGCTTGGGTTTGAGTGTTCTGCCAGGAAGAGACTTTTGGATAGCTGGGAATTCTCAGGCTGAGTTTATCTGAGTGCTATGACGATGGATTTGAGTCGCTCTTCAAACTCTATTCAACTGCATCAAAGGTTGCGCTTTCCGCAGAAGAATGTGCAAGAGGCGCAGGAATCCCTGCTCGAGATTGCGCCTGCGCATAAAGCTGTTTCCAAAGAAGATGAGAAGTTCATGCTTTTGCAGGCAAGCCTGACAAGCAGACGCAGAATCTTGGCTGCTTCAAAAATGTGAGCATGGAATCTTAGTTACCAGCTTTCGGACTTTGCGGCATCAGCATCATCTGCCAGATGTGCTGGTTGAATCACTCCGTTTCCGTCACACTGAGCGCCTGCATCGCCAGTGGTTCGGTGTCCCCTTCCAACTGGCAACAGATGGTCCGGAAAAAGGCCGCCCACAACGATTGGTTTGTTCGTGACCCCTTTCATCATATCCCACAATCTCTGGTTTGGCATGGTTGAAATCGGTGGCATTGTGAAGGGTATGTCGGAGATTTGTATTCTTCGACGGCTAGAGGACTCATGCACGAAGCGTGCTGCACCAGGCCAGTGCATAAGGAAACTTCGAGATTCGCTGTGCTGGTTTAGCGGTGTTGCTCGGGCTACGGGGTTCGCCGAGGCACCTGCGCGGTAAAAACGGTAAAGATCGAACAGTTTCTTTTTTACCGTTTTTTTCCAGGTCGGTCGCCCTTTGTTTACGACACACGCGGTAACGCAGTATAGATCGATTTGTGTTCTTTCTGGGTCGGGCAGCTATGTGTCTATTTTATACATATTTCAACTATACGCGCGGTGCAAATATTGATGTGGTGGTTTCAACCGTTTTTCCAGGTTGGATATTTTAAAGGATCCGCGCAATCCCATGGTTCAACTAATTTGTTTTCGGTTTATAACCCTTTTGCTTCAAGTCTGACCTTTTGTTTACAGAGCTCTTGCTTTCTGTTCGTCTCAAGACTCGTCTTCTCATCTCATTGTTCAAGTCTCGCAGCTATGGATTCTACCGATAGGCGCCGATAGGCGCTGCAAAACCAGTGATATTCTTTTTTTAGGATCGTTTTGTTCCAGGTCTGATGGCCAAATTGCCCTACCAATTAAAGGGTGCGGTTAAAACAACAAAATAGTAGAGTTGTATATAATTGCAATGTGTTTCCCGCACGCGCGGTAAAAATTGTAAAAAATGAACATGTTCTTGTTGGACCGTTTTTTTTTCTGGGTCTGTCGCACAATGTGTTTTATCTAAAAATCAAATTGTTGTTTATTTTTCCGGTTTTCTCTGCAACAACGCAAGCGAACCGGCTTAGACATCACTTGATTTTGTTGATTGTCAGATGGAGCAATGCTCTTGCCAATCGTATGTCGGTGTTCAGGGAATGTTTCTTGATTTGTTTCAGCTTTGCTTCTATATAAGATGGCAGGGGTCGTGCTTCCGGGCAAGGCGATCAACCAAACTGGATTCTTGCCTGCAGAACCGTTTGTCAGGAATACCCATTCGGCCAAACATCCATATGGCCAAACCAACCTCTTCGAGTTCATGTTGATAGTGTGAGTGAGGAAGCTTTTCCTTGAGAGAGGCTTCCTGACATGATTGTTCTGCTTTTGAGTATCTTGAGTGGCGACCGCTGCCAGTGGTGTTTCACCCAAACACAGCATAGCGTCAAAACCATAAGCGAGTCATGTTCACAATATTCTACAGTAGCATAGTATAGTCTGTTGTTGTTGTTGTTGTTGTTGTTGTTGTTGTTGTTGTCGAATTGAACTCTAATTACAGGAAACCACACGTGGCATTCTTGCCACTGTTTCGCCTGGCATCTAAACCCTTTGAGGATCCTTCATGGTTTTCAAGGGTTTCACCATCTTGTCTTCACCTCACCGATGTTTCTTGAGGCCAAAAAGGGAAACTTCGCCGCCTGATGCCTCTATTGAGCGCTCTTGCGCAGGTTCACCAAATGGAACCTGTCTGCCAAAGGCAGATTGTCTAGACGTTGAGCGGATCTTTTAGTCGATGGTCCCTGCGACCCACACCCCGACTGGTTCCGGTTCTTTGGCGCACAAGAGCTTCAAGGGCCTCTTCGTGGGCCACAAGCCCATTGTGCGGAGCACCTGAGCGAATCTGGTGCTATGAGCAGCCAAGAACTCATCGGACTTGGACATCCCCTTAGAGCCTGTCTTCCTCGGTCTTCCGATTGGATTGCTTGTTTGTCAAGGGTTGGGCTGGGCTGGGCTGACAGTCTTTCTGGCGATGCCACTCGCTTGGTTTAGTGGGTGGTTCGGAGGTTAGAAAGCGAAAGTTTGCCAGTTTGGTCCAAACACTGCTTAGCCGTCTGTCGTGACCAACAGGTGCTACAGCACTCGTAGAGCTGATCTCTGGATGTGTCTTGACTGCCACAGCCATTCACTTGAACCCATTCAACTTGGACGCAAAGGTTGGCCAATGGGTCCTTTGCACTTTACACGTTTTACAGAACCAAATCAACTGGCATTCCCTCTGTCAAACAACGGTTCCGGCAACCCATGGGCAAAACAAGGAGCAGAACCAAGCTCAAAGAAATGGCCATCATTGGCAATGGGTCTTGTCATTGGCAATGGTCTTCCCTCATCGTCCAGCCACCTCGCTCGGCTCCAGGGCTCCAGCTCGTGCCGCCATGGACTCGGCAGTGAGGCACCTGAAAGCAAGCCCATGGACATCGTGTGGAACCATAGTATGTTGCCATGCTTTGAGAGGTCAAACAAGGGTCGCATCGCGCCATTCATGACATCCGGTTGCTGATCATGGACCGAGATCACCACATCGCTTAGACATTCTTGTCCTGAAACCATTCCGTCCCCACCCACAGGCCTCCGGGTATGATCTAAGAGCTGCAAAACCGTCGCCTAGATCGTACAGAGCTGGAGACGGACCTACGGAAAACAGAAAGCTGGTCTCAGTGGTTTGGTGGTGTTTTCAGTATTTGGAACTACCATGCAGCTGGCAAAACTTGGTCGTTTTCACCCCTACTGCCATGGCGAGCCTCCTTCAAGCTTCATGAATCATGTCAACCCAGTAATTCAGGTGTCGGGCTTTCACACTCATAGGTTGCACCAATGACACGGAGCGTGTTGGAGGAACCTCCGCTCTTGGACCCTCTCCCTGATGGTCTCTCACGTCTCAGTATGAAAATGGTATATCTCCCAGGACCTCAACAGGTATCCCGATTAATTGGGGTGTGATATCTATATAGTATACATATCATATCTTATATATATATGATATATCAATATATCATATATAAGATATTATAAGATATAGTGATATATAGTGCGTTTGTTCATTTGATTTTTACAATATATACTACTGTCTAATGACTTAGGCCAACGTGATGCAAGTGACATACCAATCTGGCTACCCTCAGGGCTAGGTCATGTGCCCTGACATATCGAGCAAAAAAAGAAAGTCTGGGTTGGGAAACCTGGTGTCATGGGACCTGTGGACACCTCCTCGACAAAAAAATAAAATAATAATAAACAGCTAAAATAATGCTAGATACCACTGCCTGGCACCCTGGTGACACAGTGGTGACATATGACATAGGGTGCGACTATGTGTTTTTGTGGGCGCTGCTTCCTTGAATACCTCATACATATTTTCTATGAATTTGATGGTTGTGGCCTGATGACATAGGCCTTAAGAGGAAATGCCAATGTTGGATCAATCCTGATGACATAGGCTTTTGGAATTGGCGTGTATGTCCGACAAGTCCTAAGTTACTAGTCAGTAGTATATTATCTATTCATATAATATGCATTAATATGCCTTTCCATCTCAGTGACACCTCCTCCTTCCCACACCAAACTCCCAACAGCTGCCCCGAACAGGGCGAGGGCACATTGTAGACAGCTTCCAAATGCTTGGAGTAGGGCCGCAGCCTTGGTCGGGCCGTCGCATTGGTCATGGCCAGTGTGGCAAGTGTGGCAGGTCCGCCACAGGGTGGGGGAGGAATGCTCCTAGTAGCGATGCCAGGAGCCCCTAGTAGCGTCCTCCTAGTAGTAAGGCCAGGAGCCTCTAGTAACGTCCTTGCTCCCAGTAGTGGAAAGAATGTCCCTGCTTCACAAAATGAGATTGGCGGCTCAAAATGATGGACCCACACACCCGTTCCGTTGACGAGCCTCATGGTTGCCACTGACCAGGGGAGTGCCAGGGCATGCGATTGGCTTGGAGCCATAGCTAGCAAAAGGCCAAAACACCGAGCAGCATTTTCAGGTTTCCTTAGACTCCTCATCTACCCATAGACCCAAGTACAAACACAACCCTGCACGTCCCCTGAGCGTGTTTGCCTCCCTTGGGCCTCCCTGCTCCTCTTCCGCTTGCAAAAGTAAGCTTTTTGGGATGAACGGCACCGTGAAGGGCGGTGCCTTAGTGCCAATGTCAAGTCATGTCGTGTCTCACTCGGACACCACAATGGTTGGTTGTTTCAAGAGAGGCCAGGTCATCTGTCCGTTCAGACCACGCAAGCTCCTGGATCAATGGGAGTTCTCAAGTTTTGCAACCTCGAGGGTGCAACTGGAAGATTCCAGATTCTACTCCTCAGCCATTTGAAATAGATGCAGAGAGGTACAGGCTTTACTTGGAACTACATCCTGAAAGCCTTAACCTCAGAAAATGAATTTTGCTCTTCCCTGTTCTTCTAGAAGACACTAAGTCACTAAAACCCCTTGCTCCAAACCACTCTTCTGCCGAACAACACCACACCGGTCCCGTGGTTCCCCACCGCCCACCGCCGCCCACCGCAGCTGCTCTACCTCGCAGACGGCTCCTTCGCGCTCGAAGCGCCGCGCGCCTTCGCCAAGCCGGCGAAGCGCGGGACCTCAGGAGTCGCCCGTGCCAAAAGTGTGCTTGTGTGCTTTTGTGTATTTGGTGTTTTCAAAGAACCAGAAAAATGCTTTCTTGAACTCAGACCCTGGTGAATGAGACCATAGGTTGGGAGTAGATGTGTTTCTGTTCTTTCACTCTTTTCCGCTCATCAACACCCTGACAAACATCGTCTCGTGCGCCTCGTGCGGCTCGTGCTCAGTGCAGCATTTGAGACTGCGGTGGTGGGACATTTGGTCTTTCTTGCGGGAGGCTCGCGGGAATCCAGCCTCACCTCTGGTGCAAACATGAATGGCTGCAAGTAATCCAGCCAGTAGATTGGCCATCATTTGCAAGGCCCATCAAATTGGAGATTGGAATCCAGGTTCAACTGTCAGAAATTAGACAAGCTGCATGGCAACTGATTGTACAGTAAATAGATGTCGGTTTAGATGGAAGCATTCCGCTCCATCATCAAAAATAAACTTCTTGCAACAAACCTCAACGTTCGCAGAGCCGCTAGCGGATTTCAGGTTCAAAGAAGTTGCGGCCTAACTTGTCACCAGTCACAGAAAGGGGAAGCAGCTAAAAAGTATCTTTCTATACAGTAAGAGTTCTAGGACAACATGGAAGGGGCCAGCCTCATGGTCATTCACTGCGAATGAGCAATAATGACCAAGAATTGACATGTGGTTTGCTCTTTTTTGACTAAGTATTGTTCTTTCATCACTCCAGTTTGCTTTGTTCATTGATCTTCGTTTTCGTTCAAGCCGCCGCTCCAAAGCAACCGATGAGCAAAAACTGTGTGACGATCAACGACCGGCGGCCGAAGCCAAACCGTTTCGCACCGACTCTCTTCTCGCACCGCTTTGGCGCCCTGGCGGTTCCCATGGCCAGGATCTCTGGATGGCGGAAGGCCTGTGGCTGCTGAGGCTTGTAGAGGCTGAGGGTCTTGGGGGTCTTGGAAAGACTAAAAGAGCCGCTGGGACGCTTCCCTTAGTTGTCCTCTATATAGTGGGTGGTTTCAGCGAGTCTTGTTCTGACACAAACCCACATCAAGGTCCTTCATCCAAACACGCCCTAAAATGATGCTGCATCTCAGCCACTTGTGTTTTCGAGACTTTGCTGTGTTGGACTTTGGATGAACAAAAAGAACAAGCCCTTAGTATATATTTTTATTAAGTACAACCATCGGAGCTCCCTATACTTCCCCTTAAACAGCCCTTGCGGGGATGCTTGTTGTAACCACTATATAGTCATTGAAAGTTAGGCCTGCTAAGCAGGACCAGCTATCTTCGGACGCAAATGTTCACCCCCAGAGAACCCGCCGTGACAGAAAGAACCTGCAACCAGCAGTTCAGCAATTGAAGACTTAGTCAAAAAGAAACTTGGAGCAGGGACGCTACTAGGGGCTCCTGGCATCGCTACTAGGAGCAAGGACGCTACTAGGGGCTCCTGGCCTTACTACTAGTAACAAGAAGCTACTAGGGGCTCCTGGCATCGCTACTAGGAGCAAGGACGCTACTAGGAGCTCTCTCTGGGCCCCTCAAGTCTACAGCCGTGGAGAACCTCCACCGAGGGGCATCCCAACCGCCCTTGCACTTGGTGAGCGCAAAGCGATGGCGTCGATAGAAGTCGTGATACCTAGAAGCGACCGGAGCCGAGCAACAGAGAGCACTTAAAGGGCCAGAGTGGTGTAGTCGTGTAGACCGCATTGAGGGTCTACTGACTGGTGCTACCAGCAACGAGGGAAATGGATCCGATCGGACATCTCAATTGGGACTCAATCTGCTTACCTTATTCCAGAGATCTTTTTAGATCATACCTCATCAAGACCCAGATCCCTGACTTTGCAAAATGGAAATCTTATGGACCTTGTCCGCCAGGGACCTAGGAAAATCCGAGGGTGCATCTCCGAAACAAACTAAGCATGTCATGTCAGTGACGCAAACATAGCGCCAAGTGCCTCAGTGAGGTAGGTGGAAGAAACCATGTAAGGTAGGTGCTTGCATGTGGAAAGAGTTGAACTAGAAAAGCACGCTTGCCACACGGGTACAAGCATGGTTCTCTTTCAGTACATGGATCTGTCATCAACCTCCAAAAGTGACACTCAGAGGGACTACCGGTGACTACCCTGAGTTGCCAAGCGGTTTTCCATCAAACTTAGCGACACTGCGGCTAACTGCCTCCAAAAGTGTTCCAAAGATATATGAAATGGGTATCACGTGGGAGGGGGCCTGCTGTTTTTTAGGTTCTAGCTCAGTACCAACGATCACCTTCTCTATAAGCTATAAGTCATCAGTCGAGCCTAGTTGTTGCTCAAAGGGATATCATACTACGAAGCACCCATGAAGTCCCTCGGCCACGTGCTTATTCCAAGTAAGACTGCAAGTCCACAAGCACTGCTGTCACCGGGAGAAAGGGTTTTCATCATTCTCTCTGTATGTGTTGTCCATTTCAGGCTCGACTGGTCCAGCCAGCTGCATTTCCGGCAGCGCGCCAAGTGCAAGTGGTGGAAAGCCAATTCTACGACGTAGTCGCTGTTCGCGCTCCCAGTGCTTTCCACTCAAAACGAGGGCATACCGGTACTGCCGGGTGATGCTTTAAAAAATGCAGAACTATCAAGCACCTGGGCGTTTTCAAGGGATCCCGTCACACAACCTAATAAAATGGTAGTTCTCTCACAAGGATTCCCTCACTGGAGGAATGAAGATGCTACGTATAAGAGTACACGAAAACTCGGCCCAATCAGCAAACCCTGGTGGTTCCGATCCGCCTCGCTTCCTCCATGGGACCGAACTTGTACTCGGAGACCTCCACGGTTTTGGACTCACTGGGTGGATTTTGGACTCAATTCCCTGACCGCAGCAACCATCGCAACAGCAGCGGATGTTTGGACCCACAAACTTTTCAGAGGAGGATACTGAGGAGGAACAAGAAGCTACTAGGTGGAGGCCATCGCTATTAGTAACAATGAAGCTTTTTAGGTCTTTGAAGCTTCTATGGTGCATACTGAGGAGGAATGTGATTCTGATGGGCATTATGTATAATATAGGGGGCCATGCCATGTCTTGATCGCTGTTAGCGGGGCAAGGACACGTGAAAGAATGTAGCTATTGACTAATGAATAATTAAATATTCCTTCTCTTGTCTCACGGGATGGGCTGCAAGGTTATCAGCCTCATAGGCAAGCAAGTAGCAAAACTATATAGAACTTGTACAAGTGTATGACCCAACTAAGGGTAATGTATTTGTATGGTCTGTATGGTAATGTAGACTCTTGATTCGTGATTATATAATGACACCCCCATTCATAGCCATTGGCAAAACACCCAGAAGCTTTTCTTGCAGATTTATAATTATTTGCTCGATATAGCATATGCAAGAATGGAAACGACCCCAAAGTCAGATAGTACCAATCCACCAGGAGGGTCGACTGGCTCGCAGCCATCTGACCCTCAATCGACACAGCTAGACAAGTTACGACAGTGGCGAGTCCATAACCAGCCATATACATTGCCTACAGAGCCGCACAGAGTAGTCTTTTGGTGTAGTACCTGGGGTGCTAATCTCACGTACATGGTTTGGAAATATTGCTCAGATCTCGTTTGGCCAGACCCTAGCACCGCGACCACACCAGGTGATCCGGGCATCTCATGGACCGAATTGGCAATTTCGTTTATGCATTGGTCAAACCAGTTCCTACCCATCCGCATTAAAAAAGATAAAGGATATCACACACTGCAATATGCCGACCCACAGGTTTCCTTGCTACCGGTCAAGGCAAAATCATTAAGAGTTCTTGCAGAAAATTTTCGGTGGATTGTTAAACACATTCAAACCTTTTCCCGCCAAAAATTCATCCCCGTTTATAAAAAGCAGGGCACTACCAGTCTGACACGTTTGGGATTTACATCCTACCAAGAAGGTGGCGTGTCTAGACGCCCTACATTGCCTAATCCGGATGTAACATATCAGTATCTTGCAAAGATGTTAAATGCCATGCCTCATGATCCGCCGTATCATACAGATATCCAACCTTTGGCCTTGTTAACTCATGATCCTCGATGTCCAAGGCCGAATTTACCGGAAGTCTCAAAAGATAAACAAGATGCCTTTATTCAACACGTACGCTATGCCCTTTTTCGGGGTAAGCCATTCGACAGTATCAAACACCCAGACGCCTCCTAAATTAGATGCAAAGTGCCTAGCAGACTTTCAGTCGTCCCATATGCAGCCAGGTCATAATTAAGAATTCAGAGACCTTGAGAAACCTGTGCCTTTCTTCGTAGATGCCTGGTTCCGTAGTGAGATTCATTTAATTTGTATATTTTTGTGTATACTTTGCCGTTCACGGTCTCACACCATTTACCCACCAGTACCCGCTGGAAACCCAGCAAGGGATTGAGTGGGGGCGCGTCGATTACCGTCCGCGAGTTCGTGCATCCAAATGCGGGAGTTCTATTGATCCATACCAATCAAGAGTCTACAATAAGTGCACGCTTGACAAATTTCATGTCATCTTGACGCCTCCTGGCAATCTTGAAGCCTAGAGCTCTTCCTGTAGTCCTTTACCATGCATTCGCCCTTCAGAGACCCTTTACCGCCTTTACCTGCCAAGCAAGTTGCTCACCAGCCTTGGTCATAGACGTTAGTTCTCTAAAGCCGACCAAAGTACCAAAGCCACCAACGTCATATTATGATATCAAAATGGTCTAAGATGGTCTAAGAACCGTTCTTGGCTGGTTAGCAAGCAACTCCCATGATATTCTAGATTCCTCGAAACCCTTCCAGCCTTGCTGGGCCCTGCAAATGCATGGCTGCGGGCCGACATCAAAATGAAAAGAATCATCACTCCTCACGTCGAATCTCCGACCTGACCGCCCTTGGAACTGCCCACGAAGCCCGCGTCCACGCGGATCTGGGCAGCATTGCAGTCCCCGGCTCGAGGGATCGAGCAGAGCCAATGGTGGCCCCGGAGAGGAGGGTAGCAATGAGAAGGAGCTCAACCCTGACTCGGGGTTCAAAGGATGCCAACAAGGTCAACTAGACCCTGCCACCAATGGCAGCACAGAGAAAAAGAGTGACGATCATGTGGGTGTTTTCACCGCGACACCGTCGAAACCGTCTTCCTGACCCGTCGAGATAGGGGAGATGGTCCCTCCGTATCAACGAATAAGGTTGGTTGGACATGGTTGGACCTCTTACCTTGAAGGGAGTGGGGGCTTATCGCTTCTATATGTCGTAGTAGTACAGTAGCACCTGAGATTGAGATCCGACCACGTGGACCATGGGTAATACGAAAGGTGCTGATGACAACCAAGCAAAACGAGGGGTGCAGCTGTACAACGGTGCCTAGTTGTGCAGGTTCAGCCCTCAAGCAAGTCACCTCCCCGACCGCCTTCTTTGGGACGGAGGACGCCACCACGTCGGAAGGCACCTGGCGCAAAGGCCCCTCGTGGGACGGATGCCTTGTGGCCAGACTTGCTGTGAACTGGCATGTTGGTTTTGTGGCCCACATGTCACCTCGATTCAGCTCAATTTAGAGAAGGAAGTCCTCCTCACCCAGGTCACTCGACGACTCGGCAGCTCGACCCCATCCGCACCGAGATGCCAATAGGAAAGATGACCGTGTCCTGGATGGGGTTGGAGGGCTTGGAGACTTCGCTTGTCACTCAGCGTTTGGAGGCACGGAACGACTTCGTTTGACTTCGTGAAGGAAGGACGAAGGACAGAGTCGAGCAAAACGGTGGCAGACCTCGCCGTCGACGTTCGAAGAAGAAAGGCCCCAAGATGTCAGGTGAAGCACAAAGAAACAGGATCATACACGGTGCAAATTAATGGTTGATCTTTGGAACAAGTGCATCGCTACTAGGAGCAAGGGCCTTACTAGTAGTAACAAGAAGCTAGTAGAAACAATATATAAATAGAAATAGAAATGAGGTCCAAACAGTATTAGACGGCCATAGATCTCGGATCTAAAGGACTGCAAAAGCTTCTTCTGACAGCTTCCACCACACATCGCCACCATCTCTATTCAAAGGGTCACAATCCGATTCTCCCCAGATGCAAACAGATGCAAACATCATGTGTCCAGTTTTAGAAAATGCGCAGGATGCTAGTGTGACACACCACGTTGTTCACTTCACCCAGCTCTCCTGTGAGTACATGAGAATGTGCCCTGGCCTCAGCCACTGACAGTGCTCAATGACACCTCGCTCCCATGTCTTCCTTTCAGGTGTCCAGAACTGTTGATGACTAAGGGGCCTATGGACTGCCGCACAATGATGTCTTCTTTGGGAAGACTAGAGGGGTTCATTTACTCATTGGTTGTTCACTTGGGAGCATTCCCTCCAGCAGTCAGTCTAATTTCCCATTAATTTACTAGTAGCAAAACCCTTGGTAATCCTATATATAAGCTTGAGATCTATGTCCTGATGCAAAAGGTCGAACTCAGGAATCACAGAACCAGCCTTTCTAGAACTCCCAAAATCTGTCTGTAAGACTGTCCAACATCCACCTCTGTGATGATGAGTCCATCAGATATTATTACCCCTCTCCAAGGAATGTTAGCGACCCATGTTTGGTCCCTGACCAGATCTTCTGCCAGACGTCAACACAGCTCTGCGCCTCTGAAAGTGGACACACCGCGCGCTATCATCATGTGCAAACCTGCAGTGGAGATCGCACCGTTCATGCCAGCGGTACAGGCTCCTGACCCCATTTCAAACAGATCTGCGTGGCGAAGATTGGTCAACATGGCAAATCCAGGAACTGATAAACTAGCCATAAGTCCCAAACAAACCCCTTCCCTCCTGGCAAATCCTTACAGCCTAGGATCTAGTGAAAGGGGCTCCAGGTGTCCTAGTACTTGCATAGTTTTGGGGTTCGAAGTGGTTGTGCAAATGTCTAGATGCATCAAATGCCATCAAATGTCTAGATGCATGGCTGGCCCTGGTCAGATCATCAATTGGGGGCCCATGTGCGGTTGGTCTAAGCTGGACGACAACCGCCTTCGAAGTACCCAATGGAAGTGTCGCGTCCAAGTTCAAGTGTCCCTCCAGCCAACAGGTTGCTGTCGAAGCCATTCTGTGCTGCCAAGAGTTGTAACACATGCTGTCCTGAAACACAAGGCAAGTTCTGGTGGAGCCCTGGCAACACAAAGAGAAACAAGCGCTACCCAGTCCACAGGAAGTGGAAGAGTGACTATTGTTTATCTGCGAGAGTTTTGTTGGACAGATCACCAAATTATCCTCCCTCAGACGTCCTAGTGGTATACGGTCCGTCTTCTTAGTTAGTTTGGCCAGCCACTCTTTTTCTGTTAGAATGAATTTGTGCTTGTATCAAAATCAAGGGAAGGGTTGGCTGAGTTGGCCCGCTTTCCAGTTTCCTCCACTCCCTTCTCAAGGTGGCACAGCCTCAGATGGGGTCTCTATGGTCCTTCCTGGTGCAGCTCCATTAGTCTGGGTTGAGGCCGGGATGGAGCTTGCGAGGCGTCGAGGGGACTGGGGAAACCCCGTGCGTCAAGTTGACCTCTGGGGTGACACACACAAACACACACCGCGATTCACGATCCTCGCACGGCGTCGACAGGGCCCCCGACGGCAAAGTCGCGCCATAGGCCTGAGGAAAAAAGCTGGTGGACCTAAAAGAAAGAGCACCAATGAAAGGGGCAGTCTCCTTTGAAGATCCAAACGTGGGAGTTATGAAAGTTCCTTGGGCATCATGGGCAGACACTTGTCATGTCATTGGACACGGTCGGTCTCTGCTTTGGGTGGGCAAAACACCGAAGCGCCCCGTCCCGCACCTGGTAGAGGGTCCCAGAGAGGTACAGCAACTTCATATGAAATGATATGACAAGCTACTGTGGCGTCCTGACAACAAGAGGGATGGTGAATTGTACTGTCACGCTTATATAGTTATCTTGCTGTTCTCTGAACTGTTCAACTGAGGGACTGTTTGTGACCTGTCGCGACACGTTCAGTGCAAGGATGAATGACAGATGGACCTTGGGGCTGACCAACAAGGTCTCTCAAACTTGCTGACAATGCCGCAGTGTTTGTGAGATGCTTAGTCAATATTGCCTTTTGTTCTTCTCTGACACTCATGAGAAGGTCTTTCCAAATGTCTGTCCCCCCTTTCATGCTGTAGCTGCGTCTTTTTGAGGGCTCAGCCCTCCTCACTCACTGTCTTGTGGCAGCGGCGTCTTTTTTAGCTATCAAGAGCCTCATGCGGCTGGAAGCAGAAGCGGCGATTCTGGTGAATGTGCAACTGTGCTGGGTGTATTCCGTAGACTCCCTGGCCAATTTCTTCCAAATGCAGTGGCTCTGCAAAGTCGCACCAAACAGGTGGTGCGATCCACTTCCATGATTATTTCAGGGAGTGTCGTATTTAATCCTTGGCCATATCTTGTCTGTACCATGGATCTGGTCCACTCGTCCTCTGGGTGTATTTGCCCAATGAATCTTCAGGCTTCCCACAAGTCCACCGGCACTTGCATGCTGTGCCTCCGGTCGACAAACCTATCAGAATTACAGCATATTACAGCGCGGTACTAGAAGAATCAGAGTCCAAGTGGCTCAAAACATGCCTGACGGGGTCCAAGATTATGTTGGTAATAGGAGATGCATATGAGTGGCAGCCTGGCAGTCTGTTTTGCGAAGCAAAATCTTGAACAAAGGCAGTCCCAGTTCCGCTCACCTCGGTCAACTCATCGACTCCTAGAATCGATGTAGGTCCCTTTTTTTCAGAGGACGTCTAACCAGTCCAATCTCGAAGCAAACATTGAGGACTACATCCCCCACATCCACCTAACCCACCGGACCTAACTCAAACCATCCTTTTCGTCTCTTCGGCGCAGACGGCAGTTCCCATGCATCACTTCCTTATGAAGTAGCTGCACGTACGAGACCCGAGCGGAACCAGCCGTGACTGGCCCCGAGGGGCAACTGGGTCGGTGCCGAACGCGAAAAGGCATGACTTGGATATACTTAAAATATCTTAAAATCAAAGGCATGTGCTTTGTTTGAGATTTCCAATCAGCGGGCACGGCCGTCCTCTACTCGCTCTCCGTTCAGCTGTACGATGGGCGGCGTGAGAACCCCACCCTGTACCACACAGGAGAGCAGGGAATTCTTCGACACCACCCCCAAGAGGCGGAAAAACCCAGTGAATACTCCTGTTTTGCAAAATCCTTCGCTTTGGTGAAGAACGTGAAGAAGCAGTTTGGTGACTCAAGCGGGTATGACCATGTACCGAAATGAAAGTCATCCAAAAACGAAGTGCTGCACTTCTCACGGGGCGTTGACGCCCCCACGACCCGAAAAAGAAACTGGTTGGTTGGGGCACATCAGTGACACGGTACTCTGCAAAGGGTGGTTGACGGCTCTCCAAAATTGCAAATCAACGGTTCCTATGTATGGCACCTCAGAGAAGAGCTCTCTCGTCTCCGTCTCTCAATCAGGCAGCGGACACATGGACCACCGCCCGATGCCTTGCATTGCAGATCATGGACATATGAGCAGGATATGTCAAGTGGTCAACCTGCAATGTAGGGTAACTTCAATGATTCAATGACGTTTCTCCAACCATCTCTACAAACGCTCAAGCAAGCTGTTGAGACATTTCCTTCATGAGGGATATTATTCAAGGCGAGATAATATAACCCTTGCAGCGATGATTGATCCCAATGAACAATGGATTTATTCACGCACAATTCTACAAATCGTGAACAAATAATATGGCTTCAAAATGCGGCGACATTATCACTGCCGCAATGATTGTCGATGCCCTTTTCAGGGCTCGGCTCGGCTCCAAGAAAGGCCTGATAGACACTTACTAGTTTCTTCGTTCTGTCCCCTTTGTTCTTTGCTGGTACGGCTCAGGCGTCATCATGGCATCAAACAAAAAGCACTCCGTTGGTTCCTTTTGGAGCTCTTCTCCAACGTGCCAGCGACGGTAACTACGACGCGGAAACTGACGTACTCCTGTCTGCTGCAGGAGCTGAGCTTCAATGGCTCCCCTGGCTTCGCCTTTTGCGCTGCCTGAGAGCAGCAGAGCTTGGCGTGCGGAAGCACAGAATGGAAAGTTGAATTGAGGACGGCTGGGGGCATTGACATTTGGATTCGGATGTCTTTCTTTTCCCAACCCAAAAGAGCAGAAGGCGCCTCTAACCGACACTAGCCAAAACGCGGAAAACCTGAAAGAACAGAAGGTTCATCAAAAAAATAAGAAAAATAAACACACTAAGGTGCCCATGATGTCGTGCTGGTACTGAGTTGTGGCATCTCCTCGAAGTCTCGGGGTGGCGTAGTCCGTACCACCCCAGTGACCCCCGCGGTGAGCAGGCCTGCCACTGTTCATCTTCGATGTGCCTGGGAATCCCCAAGCATTGCTGAGAGTTTGATTCAGGCGCGCAATGATGTATATAGAGGTCTAGATCACCTGTTGACTCCACACAAAGAACACCAAAGAGGAGGTGTTCTATTCGACTCCTGAGTATCAATATTGAGCTATTTTCCTCTAGGCACCTTTTTGATGGACACCATGAATCCCTCCTCTTGCTCTATTGAGACTCTATTGCCTCAGCCAAAGACCTCGGAATGCGGTATCGCTATCACCTCAGTTGTATGTATCCTTGTGAAGGTGTGCTTCTTAAGGTAATCAATTATTCTAATTACACTTAATTCTACTAGTAACAAGTGCATCGCTTCTAGTAAAAAGTGCCTTACTAGTAGTAACAAGAAGCTATTGGAAGTAATTACAAGAGATCCGCAAGTCTCACTCTCCCTCCAAGCAGCCGGAATCCCGGACTCTTCAAAGGCAAGCCGCGGGGGGGGCAGTGGTGTTTGGGAACCCGTCCAATACAACAACTCACACAGCTGTGCAGAATGAAATTCCCCTTGATCCCTGAATTCACCTGTCATCTATAGTACCAAAAATGTCCATATCCCATGCAATGGTAGTCGATTTCATCTACTTTCAGTGGTCAACCGAAATCCCAACATGTCGGGTTTTTTACCAACTACGTTTTCTGACATGTGTCAACTTGATGATCATGGATCCTCCAAACGATGAGTTGATAACCCAAGCACTGCCCACCCCGGTGAAGCCGCTGGCGGTGCCTCCTACTGCGTGATTCTTGGTGAGCACTCAGCAGGAAAGGCCTGGCAACTTCCACCAAGTAGCCGTGGTGGAGAGAATTTGGAGGCGTCCGAGCCTCCAAGCTCCGCCCGTGGAGAATTCAGCCTTTGCTGAAGTGATAAAAGTCAACCCATTCTTAGTTCTGGGATGCGGAAAACCTCCACGGAAAAGTCATCCCATAGATTTGGATCCTAACACAGTGTCCATGGTGTTTCATAAGGACTGTAGATGGCTTTCTACAGCTGCAGGTTGCGCAGGCTTGAGCAACAGACAACCAAGGACATTATCTCGTCTGGTGATTGTTGGATTTTCCGAACACAACATCTTTGCAATGTCAGCGATTTGCCTGTGGCTAAAGGGAAAGGATCTGAAATGCCTTAATGTTCAATCAAGGATGATATTAGGTTGGAGGCCATCGCTAGTAGGTTGGAGGCCATCGCTAGTAGGGTGGAGGCCATCGCTATTAGGTTGGAAGCCATTCCTTCTAGTTGTATATGTTGGTGTTTTTAATTAAGGATGATCGGTTGCACTGGGCCTTGGATATCCCTTGGCCCTGTGACTTTTTTTTCGCCCGTGGGACTCATCCCTTCGCCTTGGTCAGAAAGATGCACGCGTCTCAACCTGTCGGTTCCACGACCCACTCGGAAGCAAAGGTGTGTAATTCAACCTCCATCCTGGAATAGAGACATATGAAGCAATCGGAAAGCATTATATACCTCTTGGTTTTGGGATGTTGATGGATTTTGCATATTCTGTCTACTTCAAGATGACTATGCAGTACATTTATGCAAGAGGTCACCTGGCTTGACTGTCCTAGACATTCGACACCTCTTCCTGCCATGGTGCTAAAAAGATGACGCTCACGTCTCGCACACATTGATTTAATGAGCATGATCGCGTGCGGTTTTTTGCAGACTCCTGCAATTTTGCACACGAGTCGACGGTCGTCCATCTGGAATGCTCACCCAACCGGCCCCACCGCGTAGGAGTCGTCAGGCGAACAGATTTCAATCTTCACACCTGCCTGGCCTTAGCAACTGTCTCGGCCGTGTCTCCTCTCATCATGGCCATAAACTCCTGGGCGCAGGAACAGCGAGCAAGATCCAGTGATTGTAGTCTTCCACTTGGTTTGAAGATTTGGACAAGTTGTCCACTCAAACTGAATGAGCTCTTTTGAATCTGTTGAATCTGCGGAGTGGTGCTGAGCCTCGGATTGGACGCTGTTCCTCCTACACAGAGTACTTCCTCGAACAACGGGGAGGTGACGCCTTCGAAAAAACGGGAGCGAACCTCAAAGTCGATGGAGCCGTCTCCATTGGTGTCGACGGCCTGGGCCAGCACGAGAAAAGGAGAAAGTAGAAACTTTCTCCCCAAATGATGAAATTCCAAGAATATTGAAAGACATGGCGGCCATCCACCTATATTGTGTGAGGGTCCAGAATCTTTTAGCACCTTGACCAAAAGCCTCTGCTTTGTGACAAGAAAATGCCCAAATTGGCTGTTGTTGGCTGCTTGCTGCTTGGTGTGATCCCTAAAACCTTCCAAAGGCCTTCTTCTGTGGACACCCTCACCACCAAAGTGGCGTTTTGGTCCATCCACTGCCCATCCGTCTTTGCATGGCCTTGAGGATCTCCTCGGAGCTTCTGCCAAAGGCCTTTCCGGGAACGAAAGCACATCGACATGGGTGTAGTGGGAGTGAAAGAAAACCCAACACAACAAGTGAAGATAAACTATTTTGGATCTCTTTGGAGACAAACCCATCTGCATGCCTTTTCGGTCCTGTTTGGGTGTAAAGGGGCAAACGAATGATATGCATTACCCAAACGCCAAAGTCAAAGACCGAAGTGTTCAGCTTCGACTCAGACCGACCCCCCCTTACCGTGTTGGACCCACATGCTGGACCAGCCTGGTCAACGCTGCCATTCTCGAGGATCTTCTTCATCTCCTGGAGTGTTCGGTCACAACATTGACTTTCTCTTGCTAGAACTCCCTTCTGCGTAGCTATGCAAAAACCATCGTCTTAAGCACCTCCTTCAGATCAGCAACCCCTATTGGCGTACCCCAAAAGTGAAGAAATGCGGTCAAAGAAAAAATATGAGATATCCTCCGGAAGGATCCTCTGGAAGAATCTCAGCTCCCCGTACACGTCACCCTGACGATCTGAAAGAGTGGATCCCATCATTTCCACGGTCAGACCCGCCCCAGCTGAAAGTGCACCAACCTCTAAAAAGGACACGAATTTGAGAGCCGGCAGTTTTAGATAGTTTTGGTGAGGGTAGTGTAAATCGACCAAATAGATGAAACATGATGAACACCTCGTGCTTGGGGGTCATCTGCTCTTCGTTTGCAACCATCCTCCCATATGTTGTTTGCCTTTTTTTGACCCTGCCTCCTGCCTAGAAGCACAATCTGGTTCTTGGGCACTAGAGTGGAAAGGGGCTCGCCAAGACTACGACCTACATCCTCGTCCTGAAAATGGCTTCCCATGACAGCCTGGTTGAACGCCGAAGTTGAACCCGGAGGTTTGTGCTACGATGCCTCCAGAGTGATGTGGCCATCACCGTCCTGGTCGAAGACGCCTCGGAGAAAAAAGCATCCGAAGTGATGCCGTTCCGAGCGGACGCACGACATGTTTCACCGGAAAGAAACGAAGGCTTACAAAAGCAAGGAAATGCTGGGAAGTTCCGGCCAGTCTGAGCACAAGATAGCCCAGCGATCTTCAGGGGTGTGCAATCTTGCAAGCGATGTAACACTCCCACTACATATACCTGCACAATCCTTCTCACAGCACTTTGTTTCACCAGCTCCAATCCTCAAACCACTGGTTTCTGGACAATGGGCATGTCGAAACCCAGCCAAACCGACAGAGTTGTGTATCGTGGGCGGTGCCGAATACTACTCTGACCTGGAGACCACTCAGCCAGAGCGGCTAAATGCTGTGTAGCAAAGATCTTCTTGAAGGTAGCATTTCCTGGGTGCCAGACACCAGCAGGCCCTTCCCCGGCTCCCGGCTGACATAGATAGCATCACTATATATATAACATTCTTCATGGTTGGTCTATCCGTGGTGCTACAACTGCTCCATGGTCCCACATGGGAACTCTAAGCCTCTGGGCCCCTGGCTTGTCAAGAGTTGCTGCTAAGAATTCTGTGTAGTCAATCAAGCCGCTACCATCCGAGTCGACACCTACACAGCATCCCATCGTTCGAGGTCGAAACGCCTCTCCACTCCGTCCACTTCGTCCTCTCCGTTGGCCCAGTGGCTTTCTCTGGAGAAACCCCTCCACAGCCCATGATTTAGGAATGAATCTGTTCCCGCAATGGTTTCCAGCAAGCTGAGAAAGGGAGTGGAAAAGGTTTTGGGATGTGGTTGAATCGCAACTCTTTGCTTCATGCAGCACACCCTCCGATCATGGATCTGCAGTCACCCCTTTGCTTCACCAAAGGCCCGTGCAGGGAGCAAATTTGCAGTTATTTGCCCCACCTTCCATGATGGCTTCCAAGTCGACTCCGGCTAAAATGTGTTCCAAGTCGGCTTTGGCCATGCCATCCTGCAAGCAAGGACCCTCCAAACTCTCTTCCATGACAATTATAGAGAATGTGGGGCGTTCCAACCGCATCTCAATTGACACTGTGTGCTTCTAAAATATTCGGCAGATATTCGATGAGCATGAGCATGTGAGAGAGAAAGAGAGAATGAGGCACGCTCACACATTGTGACTGTCTAGAGTATGTCCACTTGCTATAGTAGTACATGTGGCGGGTGGTTTGAAGAGACCAAACAAAGTGAGCTCCAGCTGTTTCCCAGACATTATTTTTTCTTGAGCTGAGATACGAGTACGTTGGGGAATGGGTGGTTCAATGACATAAACTTGTTCACCATCACAAAATACACACGGTAAGGTGTGTTTCAAGGGTATGAATCTGAGTCACTGCGTTTTTACCTTTTGTGTTGCATGTTGGCAGAAGATGGTTTGAAATTCTAGTTCGAAGGAAACGCCTCTTCAAGATAAACAAATTCAGGCTCACTCAGTCTTCCAAGACTATGATTCAGGGATTCCATGTCCATAGAGTATTTCAGGGATTCTTCAGATTGACCCAGTCAACCCTTCGCAGAACCCAGCTGAGAACTGCCTTGGCCCGTTCTTTTTTGCAGCCCATTCCCACCACATCGTCTTCGGGCCTTTTCCACCCTGTCGTATCCCAAAAGAGCCTCAACCACCTAGGTATATGATTTATCCAGACCACACCCTCCAGATCCCCCGCGCTCCGCCCGCGATGCCTTGAGCTCCTGGGAGGTCAAGAAGCCATCGCCGTTCGCGTCCAATGCTTCGAAGGTTTGTCGCAGCGCCTGGAAGCAGCGGAGGCGTCATTCGGCCCAGGCGACTCCCGCGCCCCGGGAGAAGAAAGAAAGAGGTTGAAAGAATTGGAAAGGATGCGGAAAAACAAAAAACACAACGTGCGGTGCCTATTTGCGGGGAAGCCCTGGTCGTTTCGATTAGCAATAGTGCATGGTTGGATCCATCAGTTCCACATCTCATCTGTACAAGCCCAGAAAACCACCCGAAGCGATGAATCTTCAAGAGCAACTGAATTGCTTCACTGCTGTTGCATAGAGCGGGAAAGGCTGACCTGTAGGCCCCAACTTAAAATCAAGTGAGCGAATGTTGTCCAGCAGCTAGTAGAAACAATAAGCTACTAGGAACAAGTGCATCGCTTCTAGTAACAAGTGCCTTACTAGTAGTAACAAGAAGCTAGTAGTAACAAGTGCCACGCTACTAGGAACAGGTGCCTTACTAGTAGTAACAAGAAGCTAGTAGAAACAACCTGAGGTGTAGGTGCCGTGGATCTTAGGGATCTCAATTGAGTTCAAAAATGTCTGTAAAACCACCCCTGATGGGGACGGGGGCCCAAACGCATGAGGATCATGATCTCTTCTTTGTGGGGAGCGTGCACTTTTCTTGAAGATTTGATTCTAGTCGAAACCTCTCAAAGTTGAGTCTAATCTACAAACGTAACTGGAGTATCCACGTGAAGAGGTATACAGAAGGAGATTCCATCCATCCTTTGGGCTAAGAAGGAAAGCAAAGACCCCTCTCGACTCTCTACGGTTCAACCCAAAAATGGGTCGACCTCGGGAAGTCGCGGTCAGGCAAGGGCCCAGGCGATTCGCAACTCTCCCACAGTGGGACCGCCTTGATCTTCTCTTCACTGAGCTGACTGGCAATGATGTGCAGGGCAGCCTGAAGCGGTCGTTGAGTCGTTGGGTCTCCGGTCAGACTTTCAGAGCCAGAAGGAGGAGCGATGCCCCATGTCTCACCCTTCACGGGGTCATCTGCTGCTCAACGGAGGTCAACCTAGAATCCCACAACAGACTGCCAGTGAAATGCAAAGTCCCGGGTGGGGGGAGGTCTGCAGAGTTAAAAATACAATAGTACTCTATATATGACCTATACATTACATAACTATATACTAATTATATGTGACTACTAACTACAATAATTACAAAAGCATTTCGTGCTCACCTACCGTCCAGAGCTGTCCAAGCCTCAACCCAAAGATCGGACACTTCACCGAGGGAAGTGGGTACAACACTTAGGCAGGTTCAGAAATGGACGGGTCTTCTGACAATAAAGTAATTCAAGAAAAGAAAGACCCAAAAACAATGAGGTGTTGCTTTTCGATCCACGAAACGCTTCATAGGGTGGTACGGTTCAAGACACAGAGTAACATTCGGTTGCGCTAGTCTAGTTGATGAGGCAATGCTGCATAAATGACTTCGGGCTTCCAGCATCATCATAATATGGCCTCTAAACCTTATCCCTCAGTTAAACAATCATAGAAATTGGTACTGGTAGAGTTTACCTCATAGAGAAAAGTCAGCATCTTCCCAACAGCCCAGCAGCCGATTGGTCCCATTGTTGCTAAAGATTGCTCAACGACAACGAGTAGAAGCGGAGGCGGATGCCTTCTTCATCTTATGCTGATTCTGAAAAGCTCTCAGGTTGTCCACGAGGCCAGCCTGCACAAAAGGCCCTTGCGTTCAACATGCACTCCAACCAGATGATAAACATCACTCATGTTCTGGGCCTGTCGTGTTTCTGACAAATGACTCCAGATTCGAGGCTCAACCCTTGAAATCATTTTATCAACGTTCCCACGCTAACCAGCCTTGGACCTTGGAAGAACTGCACCATCTGAATTGAAGTCACGCGATCTCCAAACCAATGAAAGAGCCGAACAGTGAGATGTTGAAGACCCTCCTACCCAGAAACAGCAACTTCTCACGGTAGTATCATGGCACTTGACCATGGCTGCTTGGATTCGCAGGTGCTTGGCAGAAAGATTGCCATCGACGTTTAGCACGACGACAATACTGAATGACATACGCTTTGGGGGTTCGAGTCCCACTGACTCGAACGGTCCTTTGTTTTTCGATAGCCCACGGTTTTCAGACGTTTTCCATATTCGGTTTCATTCGGTCGCCTGCAGGGACACCTTGGTGGCCCGCGGTGCCCGGCACCTCACGGCGATGCACCGGGTGGGACGTCCCTGTCCAAAGCACAAGGTGTCAACTCATGCCGGGGCATACCATGCAGCAATAAGGCTCATATAAGGCTCATACCATGACAATAAGAATTATATGATTAGAATTGTAATTACTAGCTTCTTGTTACTACTAGTAAGGCACTTGTTACTACTAGCGTGGCACTTGTAATTACTCTCTTTGAACCATACCATGATTCCTGGGCATACTCCAGTTCGACCCTTTGGGGGTCGATTGCACTCCCTGAAATAATCATGGAAGTGGAACATGGCCCCTTGGACCATTTTTCTCTACAAACAGGTAATTGTGAGCTTCCATGTTGGTGACTCAGAGTGTATGACCCACACAACCCCACAAGGTTTCTACTCCATTTCCTGCATGAGTGCTTTCGTTGTGGTTTGGGGAAAGCAACTGGGCAAAGACTTGGGCAGAGGGTCAAGACCTGCAGCCTGCGGCTTCGGCTTCGCACAACTCCGCTCCTTTTTACATCCTCAGCTGTTTCACGTGCGTTCTGAGCACCTGCTCCTTTGGAGGAGTGCCACTTCTGAACTAAGTTCGGCCAAGCTGCCTGCGGTGATCTGATACGGAGTGTGCTCAGTTTATCACCTTCTGTGTGAGAAAGTCCACACAACAGGGCACCAAAAGAGCAGGACGTTTTGCAAAAAAAATATGATTGCATGCACCGAAAAAGAACCAGAAGCGAATTCAACTCACCCTCTATGGTTGGAGTGGGCAGGGAGGAGGAGGAGGAGGAAGTGGTGATGATGATGATGATGATGACGACAGTGGTCGATGTTTAATTTGCATGCTTGTTCACCCTGCCCGTTCGCTGGTTCCCCCAGAGCCAGTATGCCTCTGTTCAATCACATCACTATCCATTCGAAGCCCAAGAAAACATAACGTCTCCATCATCATGGTCACACTCAGAAACTTAGCAGAACAACTAGCCTGCAGCTTCAGTGATTGCCCGGCATCACGCTCCAGTGCATGTGCCACACCGCAGCTGGGACCGAAAGTCTTGGCCGCTTCGCCCTGCTCTTCGCGGGTGCCGCGTCTCAGTGGTTTTCTGGCCGCCTGAGATCGGGAGCGCATCGGTGGCCAAGGAAGACAGGCAGTTCCCTCAACCTGCAAGTTTCTCATTCTTGACGTCTAAGCAATGACCTGCAAAGGAGAACGGCACCATTCATCCCCGGATTCTCCGATGTTCTTTCTTCTCATCTCAAATTCCAAACATATGGGTCCACATCTGCTAATCAGATTCAACTGATGGTCTGATTCTGGGAATCTGTCTCATTGTTGGGTCTGATTCTCAAGCTTCCACCCATGACCGGGCCACCTGGTTTTCAGTGCCGTCAGTGAGCCCTTCAGTGACTCGACCGTGTGGCCATGGCCTGGCAGTCGTGCTGAGCTGTGTCCACGTGAGACGGGTGCCTCCAACATTGTGTTCAACAAAAATGATCCTGGGGACAACCCGTTTGTAGCTGTAGGTGGCCCTAAACCTCAGTCTTGGAAGATGAAGACATGCTTCCTTGGATGGGGCAACGGTGCAAATGGGGTATTATCCCACACAGTTTAGAAGTGGCAAACGCCATTCCCGCCGGAGCAACGAGTGTGTCCAAACTTGGGAATCCTCTCAAAAATTTAGCTTTGAACTTTGAACTGGAAAGGGGTCTGACCTTGGTGTTGTTGGAGGATAGTGTTTCAAGCGTTGGAGGGATCACCCAGCCCTTCCCATTCCCACAGCCCTCCATGCAGGCCTCGTCCATAGATCGCCTGGCCTTCCAGCCTCCTGCAACCACGGACTCCAAGAGGTGGAAAAAATGTTACAAATGAGGACTTGGACCACAACAAAGTTGACCTCAACCCAAGACATTGTCAAGGGATTCACTGGATTGGTATGTGTGTAAGAAGCAGGATCCCTCCTCTCGAATGTGGAAGCTTGGGCGGTTTCATGGGGTAGAACCCAACCCCATGCTGAACCCATTCTTTCGGGACTTATTAGCAGCTAGCCTACGATACAAACATGGATGACCTGGG